GGTCAAGTGGGTCAAGGTGCTCTGCGGGGCGGGGCAGGCCCGTGGGGCGGGTGACTGGCAGGCCCGCAGGTGGGGTGGTTGGCAGGGCCGTGGGTGAGCCCAGCTGGGCTGGTAGATAGATGGCTTCAAGGACTGTGGTTGGACGGTTTCTTAATTTTTTTTCATTTTTTTTATTTTTCCGGCAAAGTTTATTTCCGCCGAAAATATTTCTGATGGTTTTTTCACCAGAATTTTGCCAGAAATTCTTCCATCGAATTATTTTGCGACGGTAATATGTTTTTGACGTGCATTTTATCGTTGACTAATTTCTCACCATAAATGCTTATTTCTAACAGATTTTGGGCATTTTCAGGCAAATTTTATCTACCGATAAAATGCATTTTTTCTGTAGTGTATTGTCAAGAGTGTGAGTATTAAGAAAACTATCAATAGAGTAAGGCCTAAGCCAATTGTCTTGCCAAAAGAGAACATCACATTGGCCCCTGCCCCATTGAATATATTGCTCAGCCTCCCATTTGATATGACAAAGCATTTTCCAAATTAGAGAATTAGAACTCTTATAACCACATAATAGAGGGTGAGGATACTTGCAATATTTAACTCTCATAAACTTAGCCCACAAGCTTTTATTAGATCTAATTATATTTTTGCAACCCAAACCCCCTTCCTCAAAGACACCATAAATATTTTTTCAAGAGGCCCAAAAAATGCTAGAGGTGATGTTATTCGAACCCCAAAAGAACTTATTAAGAATTATTTCCATTATAAGATAAGTAATCATAGTAGGTCAAATAGTATGGAAAATAAAAATAGGGACTTAATGCAAAACATTTTTAATCAAAACTAGCCTACCACCAAAAGACAGGAAGTTAAAAGACCACGCATAAAATTTCTTTTGAATAGTATTAAAAATGCCTTCAAACAAGTGAGTTTTTTCCTACCTTTGAAAGAGAGGATCCCATGTACTTAATTGGCAAAGACTTAGAATTAAACCGCATAATCTTTGAATAACAAAAAATCTAGACTAATTCCCAGAATTGGTCGCAATAAAATCGCTCTTGTCTTTCTTAATAGACAACCCACTAAGTTTTTTGGAACTGAGAAAGAAATCTACACAAGATCTTGAAGTTATTGATAGAACAATTATAAAAGATAATAAAATCATCAGCAAAGCTGAGGTGAGTCATAGGGATACCACCAGTCGTATGATAAAGAAGCTTAAGATACCTTTATGCAAATCCTTCAAGCCCCTAGAAAGATATCACTACAGAAAAATCATCCATTACCGACAGGTTTTATGAAAATACACTTCATGGCAATAATAAAGAGTATGAGAAATTAGGTCACCATGATGAAGGTCATGAGAATATTTAAAAAACCCATGATTCCTCTCATTAATAATCACTAAAAAAAAAAATCAATGTTATTCTTAATAAGTAAAATAAAGAAGAACTAAAACTAAATAAAAACAAAACTTTATATAAAAACTTCCAATTGAGATTATCATATGGATTTGCCATACCCATAATGTTATTATCACGGGTGATAAGAGCATGCCAATTGCTATGAATCATATCCAAAAAAACTATTATATAATAACCACATGTTTTGAAATTTGAAAGCATAAGGAACAAAAGAACTGCTAGCATTAATACTTAAAAGCAAAGGCATATGATCAGAATTAGTTCTGCTTAAATATTTCTCATGAGTCATAAAAAAATCAGCAATCCAAAATTGTATTAAAAAGAATCATATCAAGTCTTTGTCACATAGTGTCTCTATTCCAAGTAAAGTCACCACTCAATAACCAATGTCAAGCAGATTATAGTCAGTGATCACAAAATTAAAATCATTCATGTTGACTGGGGGGGGGGTCCCCAATTCTCTTAGAAGCATTATAGATAATATTAAAATCACCACATACACACCAAGGGCCATTAGAACTAAGAGCAAAATCAAATAATTGCTCCCAAAGAGGTAAACAATTCAACCTAGAGCAGTCAACATAAACAAAAGAGGCATTATATTTGGTATTAAAGAAACTAATTTGAGAATGAACAACTTGAGGAAAATTAGAAATAATATTCACAGTAACAAAAATTTTCCACTTAATCCAAATTTTGTTAGATCAACTAGCAAACTTCATAGAAAAACTCAAACGAGAAGAGCAGTAATATCTAAATTGTCAGTCGAAAATAAAAGGCTCGATTAAAACCAGTAAATGAATATTATGAACCTTGCACAAATTTATAACTAACTTTGTAGTCCACCCCTCCAATATCCCTTACATTCCAAATAAGAGCTTCAACCATTAAAATCTTTTGAAAAAGTTTGAGCTCCAGTAGAACGAGGCATAGAGGATAAATGGACTTTAGTATGTTTGCCTTTATTTTTCCCCCACCTTAGAAAAGCCATCATCATCATTAACTTTAGAAACACTATCCTTATAAGAAGAAGAAGTGGATTCAACATTAACAACCACACATTTATGGTTCACATCAATTTGACCCAATTTGGATTTAGGAAGAATCTCCCCCTCTCCAAAATCATCATTAGACAAATCCCCAACCTCCAATGAAGCGCCTTCTTTTTCAACTTCTTTATTAACATTAATTGGTAAAGAGTGGGTGGTTGAGGATTTCGATCATTAATGTTTTGAAACATAGAGTTAATCAAGACATAAAACTGAGTAAGATTCAATATATAATGATTGACTCTCTATGGTGGAAATTTTCATCAAACCAACAAAGTTTATTGAAATTTTATGTAATGGGTACTCATCATAACTTGACAACCTTAATCCATCTATGTTTGCATTTACATTGTCATTCAAATATGATTATTTAATGTTCATATTTTACAATCTATGAAGTTTTTTATCTACATTGATTCATCTTAAAATTATTAGATCTAACTAACCTATCCATAAGCTGTGTTAGTCTCTGTGATCCAGGTCCTGGCTCAAGCCTCATCTCATCTCCAATATCTGAGCACCGTGGCTCGCCGGAGCACCACCCACCAGGCACAATGCCCTCTTCGCCTCGGCGGCCCAGGAACTCTTCATCAATCTTGTGGAGAACAGAATCATTCATTTTGAATTTTCGAGCGAAGGGGGCTTTACTACTAATCATTCTTTCGAGGTCAGGAAGACCAAGGATGTGTGGGTGTTGCTGGGGAGGATAGTCCCATGAAATGTAGTGAAGGTCATGATTGATGACTGTGTTATTGAATTCTGGTACGTTGCATATTACTGTCTGGAAGTAACTTTCAGATGAGGAGATGAAGTTGGTGTAGTACATTAATAGGGTTCTTGGTAGATTGTCCCAACCATAGATGCAGAATTCAACAAAATCCCTTGATAGAGCCATCCATGCCGAGCCTACATAATTTGATCAATCTCTTTTATTTTGTTCTAAAGAATAAATATATTGAATTGAGTTCTGTAAAGAAAGACAGTGATTTTGAGCTACTATTAATACAAATCAAACACAAAATTTGACAGCAAATTAAGGCTTCGTTTGGGACGGCTTTCTTACTTCTTCTTAGAGCAGTTTTATAGTGCAACTAAAAAATTGCTCTAAGAAGCATTAAGATGGCCGTCCCAACCGAAGCCTATATAGCCTCTTAATTAATACAAATCCATTAGTACTGAAACCATTACCTGTAAAAAGCTTAAATGCGTTGGGCGATTCTCTCCTTGGTGACAGCCAAAACACATTAGATTTGCTCTTCATATAAAGCCCTGGATCTACGATCAATGGCTTTGCCCTCTGATCTCTAATTTTCAATAAATAAAACCAATTTTCATCTCATCACCTCACATATTCTACTAAGTAAAAACAAAAGAAATTCATGCAACTCACTCCTTCCATCCCAATCTGCTTGTATGCTCAATAAAATTCAAATTTCTTGGCAGCTTTGAGAATGTAAAGAGAAGATCTGAACATAACAATACAAGCTTTAAGTTATATCAATTAATAATAATAATAATAATTTAATATTTTCATTAAAAAATAATAATAATAAACTCACCATGAGTTACAAGAGGGTAATCTGAAGCACTGAGGTTGATGAACCAATCCCAGTGCTTCTTCTTCTTAAGAAGAATGGCACAGGCATGGAGGGTGGTGGCCATCATTGTTGGACCTCTATAGGTCACCATGTTCGCCTTTTTAATCACATGAACATTTTCCACCTTCACAAATTAAAATCATTCATTATTAAGTTGTTCAATCTAGGCGTGTAAGTGAGTCCAACTGACTCGTGAGTCAGCTCGGACTCGACTTGCTAAAAGGCTCATAAGCCGAGTTCAATGAACTAACAAGCCGAGCTCAATGAGCTAACAATTCTTTATTATTTTTCTTTTAATTTATATTTTTTACAATTTTATTAAAAGAATGCTGAATCATAATCATTTTCTCTCTTCCATAATTAAAAAGTATGCTCAAACATGTAGAATAAAGCTCGAGCTCGAGCTCGAAGTCAACTAATTAATCAAGCTCAAGTCAGAAGTGACCCGTAGCTCGACTCGTCTACACCCCAACTCCACTTTAATTGATGCTCCATGTAGAAATGAGATCACTCGTAAACTCAATCCCTAATGAAGGTCAAATTATTCTGTGCGGACGCCAAACGCCATCCAGAGACCAACCAGAATGCGTCACGTCATCCCTGCTAGGTACCGCGGCTCGGTACCACACTCGGTACCGCGCTCGTTCGGTACTGCTAACATGGCGCGTTCTAATTGGTCTTTGGACAATGAATAGTATTCGGAGTTCGCACATAATAATTTCCCCTAAAGAAGAGAGATTATAGCTGTTTTATTATTAAGAGAATTATATGATATATTAGAGTTCTAAAACTACAAAATCATTATCACCTTGGCGAAGAGGGAATGGTTGGCGACCCGAGCAACAAGTTCCCTCCTTTCTGCTACAGTACTGGTAATGATGCTCATTCTAATTGGTGTTTGGACAATGAACTGTATTCGACGTTCGCACAGAATAATTTCCTTAAAGAAGAGAGATTATAGCTGTTAAGAGAATTATATGATATATTAGAGTTCTAAAACTACAAAATCATTATCACCTTGGCGAAGAGGGAATGGTTGGCGACCCGAGCAACAAGTTCCCTCCTTTCTGCTACAGATGACTCGAGGTCTAGGTGCACCACGTAGAGGTTGTGAGGATGATAGAGTGCATGGAGGGTTCTCCACAATTGGTTGAGGTTGCCTTTGGAGCCAGAGATCAGGTAGGCAAGACGAGGGACATTGGTAGCCGGAGCCGGTGAGAGCTTGGATTCTAAAACAATGGCCGAACGATCGCCGGAGAATTTTGAGGGGAGAAAAGAGAGAACGGAATCAATGGTGGAGACAGAGGAGAGGAGGCCCATGTTAAGGGAGGTGACAAGGAAGACTGCAAAGAAGGAGATTAGGAAGAGAGGAAGTGCCCACTTCTTCTCCATGCCTGAAGGTAAGAGTGAGACTACTCTTCCTTTCTTGAACTCCATAAAAATCTAAACTTTTTTGTTTCTCATAATGGTTTCATCTCTCTTTTTAATGGCTAAGACGAGAATGGAGATTGGAACTTTTATTGTTTGTGGAGAAAAAAATGGTGAAGGTGATAAATGATTGAAGGACAAAATAGAACTTCAAATCTTCAATGAGCAAGAAGAGGAAAGTGGGGTACAATCCTCCTGCCTGAAATTTATTACGCGCGGGTCCGAATTTGTTCGAAGACTGATAAAAATGCGTCACGTCCCTCCAAAAAATGTATGGCGCTCGGTACTCGGTACCGCTCAGTACTCTAGCATGGAACCGAATGTGTCCAGTGTCCGCACAGAATAATCGCCCCTTCTTTTTCTTTTGGGACGGCTTTAGTATCAAAAATTTTTAAACTAAAAATTTTTATACTATAAATCAATAAGAAAGCTATCACAATCGAAGTCTAGGGCTTAGTTTGAGGCATCTTTCTTATTGCCTTCTAAAACAATTTTTTTTAATACAAAAAGTTTTAGTTCAAAAATTTTTTATTTTTAAAAAATTATTTTAAAAATCAATAAGAAATCAATCACAAGCGAAGCCTTGAGATGACTTTTTTACTACTTTTTAAAACATCTTTTTAGTACCAAAATTAAAAAATTTGTGTTAGAAAGTTGCTTTAAGAAGCAGCAAGAAAGTCATCCCAAACAAAACTTACGTCTTCATTAGGGGCAACTTTTAATTGCATTGTTTTTCAAACTGCAATCATAATTTTTATTTGAGCACTGATTTTCTACTACTTCCATTAAATTTGTGTTGGATAGTTGATTTTTATAGCAACTTTAAAAAAAAAAACTTATTTCTCTACGATAATTTTATAACCAACTTTATAAAAAATTATAGTTGTCCCAAACAGAGTCTAACGGCCTGTTTGGGACAGCTTTCTTTCTGCTTTACTTTACAGACAGCAAACACAAATTCGCTTGGGTACTACTTTCTCGCTGCTTTTTAACTAATTTTCAGAAATTTTTGTAATCGAAAACTGATTCCTACAATCATAATAGTAAAACTATTTTCCATGCTCCAGCTTTTCAACCAAATTTATAAAAGAAAAAGGATTTGTGGGGGGAGGAAAAATTATCACATCAGTGAAAATGCCGAGCAATACTGAGCATACCGAGTGAACCGAGCGCACTGTACCGAGCACTTTAGTGACGTGGCGTTTTGTTATTGGTTTTCGGATGCATTCGGTAACCTGACGGAATAATTACCTGGGGGAGGGGGGGGAGGATTTTGGTAAAAAAATATATTTTTAAATCATTAGAGAGAAGAGAAGATGACAAAAGGAGGAGACTTTCCGAGCCCTCAAACTGCAACTTACGGAGATTTCTAATAAATTCGCCACCGGAGATTCAACTGAGGAGAGAACTTTGAATAAGAAGAAAATAATTTTTTTCTCTGAAAAAATAAAATTAAAAAGATATTCGATTGAAATAAAATAATTATTTATAATCTAAGCATTGAAGCTAATATTGCGGTAATTAATGCCTTAAAGGTGATTAAAGGAAAGATAAGGATAAGAACAGTAAGGTCGTCATTACCGTCCAGTTAGGTAGATAATGTAATTACTCATTAATTAATGTACAAATTTTAGTTAGAATTTTCTGTAATTATTTCAATAAAAAATTCATCAAAAATAATATTTCAAATCAAATTTCCACAATATCGTGTGATTTATTTTAAAATATAAGGTATGTTGACTTATGAATCGCCATCAATTAAAAAAAAATTAATATATAAGATTTCATTTGAGGCAGCTTATCCTTTTTTGTTTCTTTTTAAAAAGTCTTTTTCTTTTATTGTAGGTATAAATATATTTTTTTAAATAATTTTCTTAAAGATAAAATTTAAAAAAATACTATAAAAACAGTCATTTAAATATGCATTATTTTTTGTTGACTTTTTTTTTTCAACACAAAAGTAATCGACATGGTGTCTTGGATGAAGCCTAAGGTTTCGTTTGGGATGACTTTTTTATTATTTTTTAAAATGAAAAGTCGTCTCAAACGAAGCCTAAGGCAGGCTTCATTTGAGACTACTTTGGATCATTAATTTTTTGTATAAAAAAACGGTTACAGAAAGTCGAAAAAAAGTTATCACAGACGAAACATAAATCAAAATATGAGAAATTATATAATATTTTTGGGCAATGTTCTAAAATTTCATCTTAAAAAACTAATATCCAACTATTTTTATGTACAATAGTATCTCATAAATCTTGGAGAGAACAAACAAAACTACAATATGATTTTTATATTTCATTAAATTCTTGATTCCACATATTTAAATATTAGAAATATAGACATTTTAGCAAAGAATTAAAAGGAGGGAAGGTTAGCAAGGAGACTTTCTTCCACAAATATTTATGAGAAGAACTTTGGAAGACTTTGTGGGTAGAAATTGGAATGATAGCCTATAGAATGCATGTGCTTTTTTTTATTTATTTAGGGTAATTAACCTAATTGCAACTTTTTTTGGTAAATTTTGGAGTCTTAATAAATTAATTAGCACTAATTATAGGTAATATATAGTAATGACTTTCAATCTTCTTATTTATGGATAGCTGTGAAATGAGAGGGGAGCGGTCATTCTCTTATCCTCTCCTTTAAGATAAATTCTCTTAGTATAAATTTTTTACATTATAGATTTATAGTATATATAATTTTATCATCCTAGCGGTAGCTTGTTGTATCATTTAGCAAGGCTCCAAATGATGACAGTGTGACCTTTATTTTAGATATCTTTTATTTAAGGTTAGTTGCAATACGTATTTTTTTTTCCTGCCGGTTAGGCGCTTTGGCTACCAACCAAAATATCTTGAATTTGAGTCTTCCATATATAATATGTGTGTGAGTTTGTCTTAGGCTTAGTTTGGGACGGCTTTCTTACTGCTTCTTAAAGAAGCTTTCTACTTAAAGCAGCTTTTTACTAGAAAGCTGTTTTAAGAAGCAGTAATAAAGTCGTCCCAAATGAAACCTTAACTGGTCTAAATGTCCTAAAAAATGGTTAATAGCAAGATTGTATAAGTAGCATCATTGCTCCCAAAAACAATCCAATGAAATAGTGAAATCTAGTGACCCTTTTATAGAATTCAGTGATTTTTTGACTTAGGATTACTCAGGCCTAATTCCTATAAATGAGAAGATATAGATTAATTAAAAAGTATGATGCTTTAACACAACTTTTTTGGAAAATTTGGGAGCAAAAGCTCAAATTAAGCTATAAATGAGAAGACATATAGGATCCTTAGAAAAGTGGAAGAGCCAAAGGGAAACAAATCAGGAAAAATAGAAATGAAATAATATTGCACAAATGCGAGAATAGGAAAAACGACTGAGAAGCCATCCAAAAACTCAAAAGTTGGAAAAATTATTCTGTGCAGACCCGGACGGCATCTATAGACCAACCAGAATGATCCACGTCACTTTCTTTTTCTTGGTACCGATGCTCAGTATCACTCAGTACTAGGTGATGTGGGGCATTCTGGTTGGTCTCCGAATCGTTCGGTATCGACGCAGAATAATTTCTCCACAAGTTGGACTTAGAAAGCTAAGCACAAGCCCATGCACAGGCAGCTGAAAGTCATGAACTTGGATGATTGGGATACAAGAGGCCCATTACAGTTATACAACCAAGAGGTCATGACCAAGTTCTTGAAAATCGGGATGTAAATGAGTCGAGTCGAGTCGAGCTACATTTGCTTAGTTCTTGTTGAACTTAAGCTTGACTCAAAACCATTTACTAAACCCAAATTTGACTCATTTGAAAAGATTCCACATAATAATCACAAATATACAAAATCATGCAAAGAGCCAATGAAGATAGAATCATGAACAAGAGGACAATTCATCATTGTCAAGGCCAAAATTCAATGGGTGCAGAGAACACAAGGAAGAACAGTTCCTACCAAGTCAAAAGCCTCTTAGAAAATATCCAACACACTCTGTTCATGCTTCCAAGTACTCAGCTTGGCTGAGTGGCTTTTCTAATCTTGAAAATAGTAGCTGTTACTGTAGTCCTATCATTGCCAAATCTACTGTTGTTTCTTTACTCCAAATATAATATAAGATTTTTTTAAAAAAACATTAAAGAGACTTAGGCTTTATTTGGAACAGGTTTTTGTTATTTTTTGAAACAATTTTTTATTACAAATATTTTAATTTTTATTATAAAAAATTATTTTAAAAAATAACAAAAAACCGTCTCAAATGAAGTCTTAAGTTTTCATTGAGCAGCTTTCTTACGGCTTCTCAAAATAATTTTTTAGTGCAGAAAATTTAATTTTTTACTAAGAAAATTTTTTAAGAAACAATAAAAAATCATCCCGTTTAAAATCTTAAGCTTCATTTGGGCAGCTTTTTTCTACTTCTTGAAGAACTTTCTAGTAAAAAAATTATACTAAAAAATTACTTTAACAAGTAATAAAAAGTAATAAAAAGGCCGTCCCAAACGAAACCTTAGACTTCATTTGAGACAGCTTTTTTATTATTTTTAAAACAACTTTCTAGTATAAAAATATATAATTTTAAAAAAGTGTACTAAAAAGAAAGAAAATTATACCAAAAGAAGCTTTTTTTTTTACATTTTCTTCCCCAAGAAAAGATATGAGCATAGATTAGATAACTCCTCCAATTGAATTTATATTTGACTATAAACAATTCTTTATCATTTATCTGTACTATATCATACAATAGCTCATCAGCTTCACCTACCTCTTTAGGAACCAACAAAATACAAATGATGCAGACAACAAATTTCTCACTGCTAGTAACTCTGCAACAAAAACAATTACACCATTTCCAAAATTTCGATGTTCCCGGTCGAATTCGCGGCAACGAGAGAATGTGATTCGCCGCGCCAGCACAAGCAGGAGATGAACTGGTTAGAATCATCAGCTTCGCGGCCAGAAATGGGATCAATGCTCCCAAATCTGTAGGATAACATAGGCATGGGGAAGGCTTTGTGGTACACAAAAACCTGAAACAAAAAGCATTTAAAGATGATAATCTTATTCATAATATTAACCATTTCTTTTAAATTTTGTTAAACGGGTTCATCTGAACCCAAAATTTTACGGATCAGAATTTCGAGTTGGGTCATATATTGAAACCCCTACTTTATGGTAGTCAATTAGGTTCTCTTATCTATGCTAGAAGGCAAGATGATCTAGTTTTTCCCTTCTTTTGGACTGCTGGAATTGCAATTCCAGAATTATTGCTCGTTGTTTTCTTCTAGAATTACTAGCAGCAGGTGACCAATTCCTACGACTCCAGATGATGATTGCAGCAGGTGAAGACCACTTGGAGGTATGTAAGCTGCAGCGACAGAGGAAGATGAAGAAGCAGGTAGCATCTCCAAGGGCTGCGCCCAGCAACAGCTATGAGGCTGGCAATTTTGGGTGTTGCCAACTGAAAGTGATGGAGAGAAGAGGATTTTGGAGAATTTTGGATTGAATTGGTTGGTCAAATATTTTGCTACCATTGAATGTTGGAAGAAAAATGATCATATTTGATTTGCTTGGGGAAGAGGTATTTTATTTTCAGTGTGAAAGGGGAATAATTTCATCATTTGATTGATTCTACTCATGTGCATAAAAGTACAAGAACGGGAGAATTAATTTTCTTAGCAAAGTTAGAAACAACTAAAGAAAAGGGTAATGATATAAATTATATTCCTATAGTGAATGAATATATAGATGTTTTTTTGGATGAATGGAAGGATTTACCTCAGAATAGAGAGGTAAAATTTTCAATAAATCTTCAACATATAACAAATCCAATTATAAATGCACCTTACAGAATGGCAACCAAAGAATTGCAAGAATTAAAAAGTCAGTTGACAGAATTGATAGAAAATTATTTTATCAAACCCAGTTCATCTCCATAGAGTGCACCAATACTATTTGTCAAGAAAAATGATGGTTCAATATGACTTTGTATTGATTACATAGAATTAAATAAAGTGACTATTAAAAACAAGTGCCCTCTTCCCAGAATAGATGATCTATTTGACCAATTAGCAGATGCTTCTATCATTTATTTAATGATAACAAAAAAAAATTAGCAGATGCCTCTGTATTCTTCAGAATTGATTTGAGATCAGGTTAGAGTGAAAGAAGGTGATGTTGAGAAGACCGTTTTTTATATCAGATATGGGCATTATGAATTTTTTGTTATGCTATTCGAACTAACCAATGCCCCAGTAGTGTTCATGGATATGATGAACAGGATTTTCAGACCTTTCCTTGATCAATTTGTAATTGTTGTTTATTGACGACATCTTGATCTATTCAAATAATCATAATGAACATGTTGATCATTTAAAAATTGTGCTAGAATTATTAAGACAACATAAATTGTTTGTTAAATATTCTAAATGTAAATTTTGGCCAAATAAAATTTCATTCTTGGGGCACAATTTCAATAGAGAAGGTATATTATTGGATCCAGAAAAGATAAAAATAGTGATAGAATAGTCAAGACCAACTAATGTGATAGAGTCAAAAGTTTCTGGGAATTAGCAAGATATTACAGAAGATTTGTAAAAGATTTTTTTTAAATTGCTTTGTCTTAATCTAAGTTGAACAATAAAGACATGAAATTTGAATGGAATGGGGATTGTGAGCAGAGTTTTCAAGAGTTAAAACAGTATTTAGCAACTCCACCTATATTGACAATTCCATCAGGAACTGAAGGATTTAAAATTTTCAACGATGCTTTTCTAAAAGGATTGGGTTGGTAAGAGGTGATTGGAAGAATAAGAGGGTTGAAGTAAAAGAGTTTCTAATTTTGATGAAGGAAGAATAAGAAGGAAAGTTGGAGGAAGAAGAAGGATCAGTTTAGGGAAGAAGAAAAAAAGAAAGAGGTAAGAAATTTGTTTGTATGATAATGTTCATAGTTATCTTTTAGATTTTCAAAAAGTTGGTAAAAGTTTCTAAAGCAATTTTACCTAATTATATTTTAGGATTTATTGGGTATATGCAGAAGGGGGATTTTAAGGAAAATTATTATGTTAAATATAAGTTTATGTTATACAATTTATTTGAGTAATAAACTATGGAATCTATCAATCTATAGAATTTGAAATAGGTGATTGTAGGTTACTTCCAGACGCAAAAGAGTAAGAGGTGGAGAATTTGAAGAGAACTCGTCAAGAAGGTAAGTTGTGTAAATTCTAATTAACAAATGCAAGAATTAATAATTCTATATATATATATATCAAAAATTAAAAAAGATTGGCTATAAAATAATATGCAACTTACCATTATAGGTGGGGCAAAATGATCCATATGTATGACACTGCACTGTAAGTGGGGCTAAATGGACCCAGAGATATAATTTCTGCATAGCAAATGGGGCAAAAGGGACCCATAAAGAGGCAAAAGGGACATATATATTGTTCAATAGCAATAATGTCAGGACTATTTGTGCTCTATTGAACTTTTTTTTGAAAGTTCAGTCAAATCTTTAAAAATTGATATTGATATTCTATATAGACTTCAAATAAATGAATTTATAATTTTTAAAAGATGATTAATATTATTTTGCAAATATTTTTAAGTTAATTCAATCATGTTATTCTTTATTATTTGGCATTTAATTTTTATATAAATTGCATAACTTATTGAACCTCATAACACATCAATTCTTTTCATATTGATTGTTATTACAAGAAAAGAAAAAAAAATATTAAAGCAGAATAGATTCAAGTTATTTCATTTTATATTCTAGTATTTAACTTTGTTTGTGGATCTATAGTTGAGATATGATAGACAATTCAGTGGTGTACTATTTTAAATTTTATTAGTGGCTCGATAAGTATTTATTTGATGTAATTGAAGTGATTAGATGCTTCCATTTATATAGTAAATATAAATGTTAATGAATGTTTATACAAATATTCAGATAATGAAAAATATCATATCTTAAGACTGAAAAATTTTATGTTTATTTTTGTGGCACTTTACAATACTAGCAAGGGTATAGTGGGGGTGTTACGCTCCCTACCTCAGTTTTCCCTAAATCTTGCATGAAATTGTTCAAAAATACCTATGTACAAGAAGAAATTAGCTAATATAAAAATCATGACTTGTTTTCTATAAGGTTATATAAATGCATTTGCATTTATAGTATTGTAAGGAAAATTAATAGGTAAGCTTGAGTCCTACAAACAAATAAATATTTCCTGTCTCTTCTGCAGTTAAGCGGATTATTATAATTCAAGTGAACAAGTTGTTCATACTGCAGGTGTGACTAGAAATCAAGTTTCCCACATTGCAAGCAGCTAGAATTCTAGCTCACAAAGATCATGAAAACATAAAATCTTACCTCATTTGTTTCTGAGCCTGTAGCAATATAACCATCAGAAACGGACAGACCAACAAAATTCTGAGAAAAAAAAAAGAAAGAAATTTAAGAGAAGTTCAATGAGAATCAAATTAATCTTTAAGAAAAAAAAAATCTAATCATGATGAACAATTACTAAAGAAAACAGGCTATTACCTTCACATTTGTATGCCCAGTGAATGAGTGAACGGGTCTTTCAATGACCCCTGATGAACTCACAGTAAGGTCCCAAAGCTTCAAAGAGTTGTCTGTCGATGAAGATACAAGGGTGGATGAATCAATAAACTTCACATAGCTCACAGTCCTTGCATGAGCAGCCAATGTCAATAAAGGAAGCCGTACATTTCGTAGATCATAGTAGTACACATTATGATCTGCTGAACCAATAGCAAGTAAATTAGCCGAATCTGGTGGAAATTGCACAGAACATACATTTGCCTTTGTTATGATAGTTCCAGTGCTTCCTCCCTGTATTAAGAAACAGATTTACATGTTGCAAGAATGGAAAATAAGTTTATAATGTCATATAGCAGTGCATAGTTGCAAAGCTGACATACACCAAGTGCAAGAGTACAATTGCCTGATTGATATTCCATAGCTTCACAGTCCCATCATCACTTCCACTAGCTAACTTTGTTGGGTCAATTGGGGAATAGTTAACCGACCACACACGCTTCTCATGTTCCCTCATTTCAACAAGGACTTCACTTCGAGAGACATCCCATACCTGTGATGGAGCATAATATAAGTAATTGTAAATAAGATTAAGGTTTCGTTTGTGACGGCCTCCTTCCTGCTTCTTAAAGCGGCTTTCTAGTATAAAAATTTAAATTTTTTAACTAGAAAACCGCTTTAAAAAGCAGTAAGAAAGCCATCCCAAACGAAGCCTAAGAAATGAAGAAAACTGTGAGGATCTTCAATGAGAAGAGAAAGCACTTCCTTCATGAGCTTCTTGGGAGAGGAGGGAGAGAGGGAAGGGAAGAGGGAGATGGAAGAAAACAAATCCTTTATTGCTTGACCATACCTATTACAACCTATAAAGCCTCTATATATAGGTACTAATGCTATACAACAAGCTACACAACAAGCTACAAACCTAAATCTAGTACCACCGTGGAGAATTGTTAGATATAGATCCTAGATTTAGCTTTGTAGCTTGTTGTGTAGCTTCTTGTATAGCATTAGTGCCGATATATAGAGGATTTATAAGTTGTAATAGGTATGATCAAGCAATAAAGGATTTGTTTTCTGCCTTCTCCCTCTTCCCTTCCCTCTCTCCCTCCTCCTCTCCCAAGATCAAGAAGAGGAAGTGCTTCTTCCTCTCAAGCAAGATCTCACAAAAACAGTATGATTATTCACCTGCACAACCCCTTCGAAGTCACTTGAAGCAATCTGGCTCTTTATGTAGCCATTCCAGCAAACATTGCTGAGTTTTGATCTACTAGTCATCTCAGCCACAGGATAATGAATATTGTGTTCTTCATTTAATATTGCATCACATTCAAAAACTTTGATCTTCCTATTTACACCAGCAGTAGCAAAAAATTCTTTATCCCGGTCGAAAGAAAGGGAGCAAATCAAATTACTGGAGTTTAGCAGGTCTCCTTGTTTAACTTCTGCACGAACTTTAAATTTGCTGAAAGATAAGTACTTGCACAAACCGTTCAGGAAAGGATTTACCAAATCACTCATTTTACTGCCACCATTGCCTTTCTTAGAGGCTAAATAATCAGCAGAACTCCCATCAGTTCTCACAGTTGATCCACTACTAGGATTACTAATTAGCATTTTACTACTAAAACGTTGGCCTATTGGCCTCATAGTTTTGTATCTTGATGAAAAATAAGCTTCCTCCAGCCTGCTAAAGTTTTTCAAGATTCGAGAGCTCTTTGATGATATTTTCTCATGGGTCTCTTGGTTAGTATCTGGTCTGGGAACATCAAGATGATTCTCATTGAACTTTTCTTCCATAAAATCCTTGTGTCCAGGCCTGATGCGCTTTCGAGAGCCCGAAGAAAATGAATCTTCATTTATTTCATTACAAGGTAATGGACACTCAAATTTATGAGCTGTTCCATGATCACCTTTCTCAAGTCCAAGAAAGGAGCATCCATTTTTCATGAGGCTTGACCTTTGATTTTCAACTTCTTCTATATCAGCACAGAGAAAACAAATGGTGTCATGAAGCTTATGAGCAGCTTCTATCTTTCTTGTTTGCAGCCCCAAAAGAAAATCCAGAAGTAACTCCAACTCTTCAATCTCCTCTTTCAACTTGATAGCTGCTCCTCGCTCTTCTAAACTATCTAGTTCTTCGTTTAAGAACTCGCTTTCTAACAACTCGCTGCAATCCACAAGAAAAGGAATCAGATTAAAATCAAAGAGTAAAATTCCAATTAGGTAAAAGCTGAATATGTTCATTCATGTCCTAAGGTGAATTTTTGACATAAAAGAGAGTACCTAGGATCCCCTAACAATGACTAGCTTTGAACTTGAAATATTTTGAGAGCAATGGTTAACTTTCTTTTATTCCTTCCTATCCAAGCATATATATAATTTGCACTTCCTACCACTGCATGCAAGGATGAACCATTTTTTGCTTTGCAGACATATATTTTGCAGACAATGCAAACATCGTAACTTTTTTTTTCTTTTTCCACATGGCAGATATATTTTGCAAAACTAAAGTAGTTCTATTGCATTCAAGTCAGACAAGCATGAGCAGGACCAGACCAGCCTCAGTGGCAATAAGGATATGTTAATCTAAACTTGCCGCACAAGAATTTTGTCAATTACTGAGAAATATCTTCTCAAGCCTAATCAGCTCCTCCTCATTGATTAGGTTTATGTTGTAGCAAAAATAAGAAAAAAAAATGAGGAAAATTGAATCCCTTATTGAGTTAAATCTCTTATGTAATTCATGAGATGAAAGTTTAATGAAAACATATTGGGGATGGGGGAGGGAGAGAGAAAGAGATGAGATATATTGGGGAGGGAAATACCGGTAGTTTAGTGTTAAATACCGGCGGTTGAACCGCCGGTTAATAGCAGGGTTTAACCACCGGTATACAGCGAATTTCCTGTAGTGGAAGTGATCACTAGATGTTAGTGGAAGCTGAGAAGGTTTGTGCTTCAATCAGTTTGAAGAATTATCACTCAGTTTTTATTACAGAAGTTGTCTTGCTATGCAGTGAATATATACCCATACACGTTGATCTATGTAGAAAGTCCTGTGCCATAAAGAGAGAGAGAGACACACACATGTAGGGAAATCCTCAACTTGCATCCAAATTGTCAAATAACATACAACAAATCATCTACTACTACTACAAAAGAAAGAAAAAAAAAAGCAATACTTTTTAACGGTAAAGTTGTACTCTTGTTTTCAAGCATAACTTTTTCATTTTATAAAATTAAACATATATCCTCAAAATCAGGTCTGAGATAGGATCAATATTTAAAAAGGTGATCTTGAGGCTAATTGATGTGAAGGGGTGGAGCAAATTTGCCTAAAAAATAGTCGAGAGAGGTGCTTAGCCTATAGGGGATACACCCTATAGACTAAGGCATCGCCCAAAGGACATGAAATTCATATTTTGTGCGTGAATGACAAGATGTCTTGCACTGTGACATAAATTAATTTAAACTTATCAAGCAACCAAATTTTAATATTTCATAGAATCTTCCTATTTATTTGAATAGGAAACTTAAAGACAAAATTAGTTGTCTTATATATTTCCTACTAGGAGCACTCTTAAGATTGTATAACTTATTCTAAAATTCTTATAATGGCATCCGCAATGAAGAAAATATTTCCCAAGTATCCTCCTCTTACTTTTCTTCTTTATTTCCGAAATGTATAACTTTCAATTTATGTTCCACTTTCTGGTTTGTAATACACTTCTGCCACACTTTTCCTCACCAAGGACAACAACAACAACATTGCTCCCTTTGTCTCAAATTCCCTCGAGACTAAGTGATGAAATCCAAATGACATGAGAGTTGCAAAACATTCATTCAACACATCAGTTGAATGGAAAGAACTAACTAAAGTGGTCGCAATGGGTTCACACATTCTAGAAGGGAAGGGAAAAATTAGGTCATTGACTTGGCATCATAACTAAACAATGTGAAACCATGTTTAAAATATGGGACGAACATGACTCTTTCGTGATGTCTTAATTATAGAACTCAAAAGATAATTGATATATGCATGTTCCTCCATTCAGAAAAGAAAATATGGTATACAATAAATTAAAACTATCTACACATTCACTATATCACACAAATCTATGAATTCAATATTAATATCTCTTCAGCAAAGCAAAGAGGGCAATCCATCACAAATATCCCAACCTATTGCAAAGCCTATGATAAGAGATGGACCATTATTAATACATCCAAATGTAATGTAGTCAAAATGTGGCTCTTCTTAAAACATTTGTTGAAAAAGACCAAATATGTGATTTTTTGGGGATTAAATGTTAAATTTGATGTTGTGAGGGTATAAATTATCAAAAATGAGGATTTAAAATCACTAAACAAATTCATTGCCTAAACTAAAGAAAGAAGAAAGGGAGTCATGATCACCAACAACCCAATAGAAGGCTCAAGATTAACATCCAAGGCTATCGATCTCAAGAGCTCTGACTCAAATCCTTCTGCAACTGAGGACCTCAAGTAACCAAACCTAACAAAGATTATCAATAAAGATACCCTATGGAGCACATATTGCAAAAAGGTTTGAAATACATGGTAAAGATGTTGAAAACTTTATAGCATACCACAAAATCGAAGTCAAACAGCACAAGAGATAAGTAAAAGAGCAAAAATATGTATTGTAGCACATATGATAGAAGGTAACACAAAAGAATCACCAAATGAGTTCCACATAATATATAAAGGCTATAAAGCTTTCTAGGAATACTGGAGAAAACATCTATGAAATGTTAGGCGGGCCCCTCCGGTCCTTACTCTAGGCGGGCCCCACATGGAGTTAATTCAAGGGTTGGAGGGAAAATTTGAATGGAAAGGGGGGGAAATTTGAATAGAAGGGCTGTTTAGGGATTTTGTATGGGGATGAGAGTTAAAGAGGGGGAAAGGGGGGAATTAGGTCCTCATCTTGAATTTGAATAAAAAGTTTGAGATCTCATTATGTGCTTGGGCTCTAGGGTTTGCTAAAGACTTGTGGAGAGTTGTTCTTCCTCTCGAATCGAAGGACGTTGTATCTTTCTTTGTTTTCTTGCATCTACTAGTGGAAACCTTGTTTCTTTTCCTTATTTTTCTCTGTTTGGGTGCATTTCCTGCTGCAGAGCTGCTGTAAAACTGCTGGGACAGCAGTTTTGCTCACTGTTTTGGGCTGATTTTGACTAGGGTTGCTTGCGAACTCAAGTATTACCTTAGGGTTACTTGCGAACTCAAGTATTTCCTATCAGAATGTTGAAAAGATATCTATGGTGCACATATTGTGAAAGGATTGACACCAAAGGAAAGATGTGAAAACTTTATGCCAAACCATAAAGTCAAAATTAGACAGCACAAGGGAGTTAAACAAAAGAGCAAAAATATACATTCTAAAACATATAAGGCAATACCAAAGAATCTCCCATTGAGTTCCACAAATAAGAAATAGAAAGGCTAAAAAATAATTCTAGGAATACCAAAAAAAACATATATGCCAGGTACATGTATTGTAGTATTCTCAAGTGTTACCTTATCTTCTCTACCTTCAAAGTCTCAAAGATGCCCATTTTTAGTTATTGGAGAATTGATTCAGGAGAAACATGCTAGATAAACAACTACTCTAACAAAATTATTTCATATACTATTTATCCTAGAAACCAAAAAATAATCATTATCGATGGATCATTGACAATTATGATTAGCTAAGAAGATATTCTTATAAACACATCCCTTGCACTCTTAAATATCCTTCATGTATCTAAATTATTAACAACATGTTATCCTTTCAAAAGCTAGCTAAACAGCACAGGGAGGGCAATTAGAGTGGCAAAAAGGAAGGGATGGTCTCCATCGCCTTGAGAAAACTAATGATTAAAAAACTTTACACAATCTTCTGTTATTTCTTCTTTCAAAAACGATTAAATCAAATAAAATTAGATATGGCTTCAAAATCTACGTATAAGTTACCCATTCTTTATTGTTCTAAAAAACTATATTACCTTCGTTATTTAAAAAAAAAATCAATATTGAAAAGTTTATTGTAATGTTTGTGATTAAGCAAACCACAAACATACCAATTTTACAAAAAATTAAACATCCCTAATTCCCTTTTTGTCGTTCATAATGGCATCTAGGAATCTGATAGGAAGTACTTGAATATTTCAAGTAAAACCTAACACTATTGGTAAAAACAGCAAAAACAGTCCACAACTCCAATGGAAAACAGCAAAAATCGTAATTTTCTTGGAAAATATGAGGGAAAACACTTGAAATTCACTAGTAGAAGAAGAAAAATAGCAAGATACAATTGATCCTCTATTTGAGAGGAGGTTCTATCTCTCCCAAATCTCTAAACGCAGCTAGAGCCCAAAAGAAACCTAAACCTAAGTGATCCTAAATTCAGCCAAATTCAAGATACCCTAATCCTAGGAAAACAAACTATTTAATGCATACAAATCAAAGAAAATCCCTAAACAATCGCTACATTCAAATTCCCTCCTAAACTCCCTTCAAAAACCCTTCCAAAATTGCTATGTTGGCGCTTGTTGGTGCTTGCGGTGCGATCGGCGTACAGGAGAAGCGGATGCTTCCGCCTGGGCCGGTCCCGTATGGAAAGGCTGGACCGGTCCAATGGATCGGTCTAACATAATTATATTCTTTGCCTGACATCTCCAAGGCTCAATGGTTTGTCTTTTATCGATGTCGTACCAATATGTCATGGAACCTTCTACTTAAATCTAAGAAATGACATGAGTACCACATTTCTCACATTTCACAACTTGATTAAAAATTAATTTGTTGTTGAAATAAAAAAGAGTTTGATATTATAATACTAATAACTATTTTATTCACTATCTTTCATACTTCTAAGAGGATGGAATAATACATGAGTCTTCTTCTGTGTATATACTCCAACAAATAAAGTAGTTGAATAAAAGAACCACCACCTACTTGCTCCCACTAAAGCTTCCTTTTTTTTTCAAAATGATGTTTCAAAAAATTATTGGGGGAAACTATTTTAACGACCACTTACATCATAAACAAGTTACTTGTAAGGGTTTTTTAATTCAAATATCTTATGGAAGGCCTAAAAAATTTCTTTCCTCACTTTAACACCATAAATAACCTCATTCTAAAATTATTTGTTAGTGTTACTTCTCT